AAAAAAGAGAGAGAGAGAGAGAGAGAGAGAGAGAGAGAGAGAGAGAGAGAGAGAGAGAGAATTAAATCTAAATAAGGATTTCCTCTCTGTGTATGAAGTACTTGAAGAATAATTACTGCTAATGAGCTCATTGGTTGTAAGCCATTAGAGAAAATATTACACAATGCATTAAAATTTTAATGTTACACTTTACGTGCATTATACGATGTTCGCGCGATATTGTCGGAGGATTAACGGATGCGTTATCGTTTTCACTAAAGCGGTTACATCGCGAACATATTCATGTGAATTACAAGTCCCTCTTTATGTGAGTATAAATTCTGTACCGCGCGATCATAAGCACTGATAATTATCAATGTTTTGCGAGAACGCGATTGCGCCCGGATTCGCGGTGGGATTTATTATACCATCGCGATTAATTCTTGTAATGTTAAGTTTCATGTTTATTTAAAAACGTGATATTGTTTACTTTTATTCAGTGGAACAAAAGTTCATAACAAATTTCAAAATTCAAACAGCTGTAATTTTGTTAAAAATTAATGAAGTTTAAATTTAAAAAAAATGGTTTTAAAGCTTCAAATATGTACTTTCGAAAGGTCGAATACTATTGATTATATTTTCTGTGAGTTTAGTAATTCTTACAGAATACTTGTCATAGAAAACTACGAGCTGGAAAAAATGAAAAATTTTTTTTCTCACTTTGTGAGTTTGTCACATGCCTCTCAAAAATCGAAAATTTTCGATTTTCTAACTGAAAACTGAAAGTTTTCATTGTAAAATGTTTTTTTTAAATATTTTTTAAATTTCTTGTTAGAGAATTATCGCGGATTAAATAAAAGGAGCATTTTAACTTTGATTACTTATGACTTCGTTAAAAATCGTATCACAATTCAAAAGACATACTTAAAGTTAAAGACATACTTAAATTTTGCTTTCTCGAATGATATAATTGCCAAATTTTTGTTCTAAAAGCATGTAGAGAGACAAATGAAATGCTAACTTTTGTTTCGATCCAATTTTTATGGAATGAATTTTCATTGTTATCGATGGCATGTAATCGTGATTTTTACTCTCGGGATACTAATTAATTACAATTATTATTCATAAAATATTCGTCTTTTTTAAAAATCAATATTAACGTAATAATATCGATGAACATTTTATAACAGTTTGGAATTCTCTGCCTTTTATCATCCTTTTTCATTAGAATACAAGAGCTTAATTTTATAATTAATTAAAAATTTTAATAATTTCATATATGCTTATTATTTATAAATAATATGCTCATTTTTGTTGCAATCAGTTATTACATTAAAAGTACTTCAAAATTAATTTGATAAAATTAAAAAAAATTTTAATGATTCAAAAAATATTTAAACTTATTTTCTAGAAAATTTTGTTTTTTAATTATATCGTTATAGTAAATGAGTGATACGTAGTCTCGAGATTATATTATCTCAACGTCAACAAAACAGATTTTTTTTCGGTTATTCATAGGGAATCTGATAAGTACAAGTTCGAGCCTATTGAGTTCCGGCGATCAAAATGGACATACATTGCCAGGAGCCACTCCAGTTACGTGCAGCACGTCAATGGTGCCTCCGACTAACGGAATCTACTCCTCGGATGGCGGTCCCAGTATGCTGAGCTGCCTGTTGCCGTCGTTGCCAACTTTGCCGTCCTTCTCTACGTCCCACGATGTGTTCCGACACGGGGAAATGTTGCGCGCGGGGATCGCCTACCATGATTCCTCTCGACAGCACGTCAGGCACATGCAGCGCACGGACGTCACCTAATTTCGTAGACGTAGAAAAAATCGAAACCAAGACTGACAGTATTAACGGAACACTAAATAGACATCACTAAGTGTAGACTTTGCTTATAAAAATACGGATATTTAACGCGATATGGTAATTATGGACGGGTATTAAAAATGGCATTAAAAATGCCGCTAAAATGCGGCGAGATAGCGATAAAATAGTGCGACGAATAGCAACGATGTGTTGTAGGAATTTTTTTACTCGGTGCTATGTACGGATTCAAATATGTACGACCTGTAGATAATAAATCGTTGTTTAGTAATAATAAATATATACATTTATTCTCTATCTCACACATTAATATGTGAACGCAAGTATTTTTTTAAAAAAAGATTTCGTTTATTGAAAATTCTATAAAAGCGAATATAAGAAATAAGATCCATTTGGAATATATCACAAGCTGTAAGTTTTGTCTTAACAATAATTTGCATGAGATTAATTTCGATAAAATATTATAATCGATTTTCTTATAAAAAAAAATGAGATCATTTCGATCACTTTAAGATTTAAAACTTTTATGGTCCAAAAATTTATAGTCGCAAAATTTATAGTCCAATTTCTTGTGCTAACTACAATTGCGATTATTTTGGAGATTACTCATGCGACGTGGTAATCTTCAAAAAGTATTTCATACTACGTATCGTTTTAATAATTCCGAATTAGTAATTTCTGTAAATATTAAGTCATTGAGCCAAGAGAGAAGAGATACTTTTTCTTTATGAACATCGAACTCAGGAGACATCCTCTTCCTGAAGAAAATCCTTTTATCCTCGCCGATCATTCACAACTATCTTTGAGATCATAATCATGAACTTTGAGATTCACGACGATCTTTGAGATCATAATCAAATGATTAGATTCATCTCTTCATGAGGCTTGCTGTGTCCCAGAATAAATGGCCAATTTCTTCTGGAGATTCTCTCGAGTTCTCCTTCTAAGAGCTTCACCAGGTCATCAAAATATCTCAAGTCATGAACATCTTCTAGTAACCTCGTTGTATCACTTGATAAATTGATCGCCTTCTTTTCGTCGCACTGTAAAATTCATAAGATGCAATTGAATGAATATTATATAGTAACGGTTTTAATGGAAATGAAATGTTAAGATGCAAGTGAGTCTTTTCCTTTCATATATTGGATACGTTTTAGCAGATTTCCGTTATTTAATTACGATGTTTAATATCAAAAATTGCAACATACGTCCTCTAAAAATGTTTATTGACGAAGATTTTACAATATTTCGCATTAAGTGAAAAGTTTAAATGTAATTTAATGTCATTTAATATAAATACTAAAATGAAAAATATTGAATGTCATTTAATGTAAATACAGTTAATGCCAAATAATAAAGACAAGTATGATATATCGGATGATCCAGAATTTGCGATTTTAAATACTATAGCAAAAAAGTTCTCACTTCAGTGCGCACTTCAGTCCTAATCACTCAAGTCAAGATCATCTAAACTAGTCCATAATCCATTGGCCATGTCATATTTAAACCCTAATTATTTCAAAAAGTACTGCTTAAAATAAAAATTTACAAATAACTTTTTTACTTAATTTTTCGAGAACTTTCTTGTTATATTTTGAGTCATGAATTCTGAGGCAGAATTCCTATAAATTATCTGTACAATTTTGTATTTTTTCGCAGTAACATCCTTGTAATTAATTTCCTTAAGAATTTGATAATATATAACTATTTAAGGTGAGACATCTACCTGAAACTTTGTACGTAAACCACGTATGTCCCCGTGGATCTCTTTATTGGCGAGTTGCAATCGTTCTATTCTATCGCGGAGATGGCGTATCCAATTATTCGGATCGTCGGGAACCGCCGGCGCTTCCACGTCTGTCTCGATGGTCAGAGCCAGTCTGGTTAATTGGTCGTGAGAAGACGTGCTATTGCAAAATCGATCCTCCTCTTCCAAGAGAACAGTTGCTTTCCTAGGATCGTTCCGAAGATCTTCGAGGATAGATACTACTTCATTGATAGCGATACCTCGATCCTGCAAAATAATTCATTCTATATTTCAGTTTATAGGTAAATCGCATAGTTTGATTAAATAATTATCTTTAATAGGATCTCTTTCGTTATCCCTTACAGAAATTTAATACTGGAAGTAATTAATTATTTATTTTCAGTATTAAAAGCACTGCTGTCTAGCGCTAAATTTCCTATTACTAAATTTCACTGTTATCGAGTGCTTGCTCAAAATAAGTAATTTTTCATGTTAAATCGGTCAGGATGAAACTTACTGGATTCCTGTAAGGGACGCGAAAGAACGTACGTTTGCGAAATTCGCGGTGTGCACTTTCGACGCAATCGCCAGCTCGTCGCAGAGACACATCGGCGTGTTTTGCGCGTCGCTCTGGGTCTCCAAGCTCCAATCGTAACTCTGTATACCGGAAGTGTCCTCCAGGGAGGGCGGTCTGGTGGCCGAACCCTTGCAGTCATCCCAAGTGGAGTTCAATCTGTCGTAGCTCGATCTGCTGCTGTCACCGGTTTTCATACTTCGCACACCGCAGTCAACGTCAGTCGAAGAATCATTGTTCGATTTCATTGATGCGTTAAAATCATCGGTGGTCCATTGTCGGCGCTCGGAAATGGGCGAGGAAATCGCGCCTGTCCTCACATTCGTGCTTGGTAAGTTCAGAAGTGTTTTCAGCTGCGTTGTACCTGCGTTCGTGATTTTGTATGTAATCTACTAATTTCTCTCTCGTATTTTCCAAGTTCTGATCAGATAATTTTGAAAAGGGAATAAAAATATTGATTTTTGTAAATTTAGAAGTCTCGTCAGAGACTATTAAAAAAAAGCAGCACAAGGAAGCTGATTAAAATTTACACGTTTCTAGGCGTAATTTTTAATGTTATTGCTAAGACTATTATGTTTTTTCTCGTTTTGAGAAATAATTTTAACGAATAGTACATTAATATAAAAAAGGAATAGACAAGAACTAGAAAATCAGTTTTTAATTTAAAAAAATTTTATATGAGAGTTTATTAATTAGGTAAAGCATTATGAGTGTATGATCTCTTCTTTTTTTATAGAATCTTAATAAAATTATGGCGAATTAATTAAAAAATTGTTGATTAAGCTCTTAAGTACTCAATTAAAACGCGGATAAAATAATAGCGTTATTTCATCATGATCTGATGATTTCATCATGATTTTCATTCATTATAGGTATCGAGAATTTATATCCGTATAATTTTACAACAGTCACGCATTTAATGGAGAAAACGTCGATTGAGCTCGAGTTAGGGATGATCGTTCAAAGCTCGGAGCTGCTTTCATTAACTTTCTTTAGCCTCTCCGATACAGATTCAATCGAACCCGAATCGAACTTCGTCTGTTGGTGTGTCCGCAACGATGCTCGTGGCAGTTTCGCAGTCTCACGCCACTCGGCATCTTTATGGTGGTAGCACTCAGCCACGATCTCGGGGACGAAGGAAACGAAGTAAATCTGATACGTCAAGCAACTCGATTCCGCGCATTGGTAAACCGCGAAACTTTATTAGGTCAGGTGCCGCCGTGGCCGACGAGTTCCACGAGGTGGCTTTGCTCGAAGCCAGTTCGAGGGAAGCAGCGTTTCCTTCCTCAGACTTCGAATCGAACGAAAAGGGAAGGATGGAGATAGTAGAGAGGAAAACCTTAAATTGCGTACCGATTTGCTTGGAATCGATGAGACGGCTTAACTGTTTTCGGCAACGGCGGAACTTCCATTCTCTGTTCTCATTCTCTGCCGTGAATCTCGCCTGGGAGAAGGTAAAGCAGCGAGGGGATGGTATGAGTATCCGGTATTCCTGAGATCTGATTAACCTCTCCGGGGTGTAGCATATGGGAGTGATGCATTCTTTCTTCACGTTGCACTCGCTGCTGATCGTGGGTGGACTGCTCTGCATAGGAATTATTTATTAATCGCATGTCTATCGTTCAGATCTCAATGGGATCGACGAATTGTGTTATTGTTTTCGTAACGTTGTATCGAGCAATTTTCGAGTCCGATAAATACAAATGAAAAATTGAAAAAAACTCGAGTTATTAAAGAGCATAGACTTATATACATAAGATCTATTGTATAATTGAACTTTAATATAAGTATATTTAGAATTTAAAAATAAAAGGAACTTAAAATATGTTTTTAATATTTGGCGAAACCGTGAAAAATTAAGTTCAACACTGAGAAAAAAAATTTATCATTTGACTAAATTAGTTTAATTTATCTTTATTTTTTTCATTAGAGAGTGTATATATTTGAATGTATATATTTCAGTCAAATATAATATATTTGACTTAAATACATACATTCTTCATTAAAAGAAATAAAGACAAATTTATTTAATTAATATCGATAGATTATATTTGATTAACTAAAATGACTAAATTCAAACTGAAATTTCTTTTTTAAACTTCAAACCCATCACACAATCAAAACCATCTTAATTCTAAATGTTCTCTGTAGAAGATTGTCCTTTTTATTTACAAAAACGACACAACTCAAATGTGTTACTCTTTTAGAAGATTTTTGAAAATATTTTAAGAATGACACAAGTATTATTTGGCGAACGGACTGTGCAAATAAATTTAGTTTACTTTTGATAGAATAATCTTTACATAACTTATTTATAATAATTACTCAAAGGTTACATTTTTTGAGTTGTATTTTTAGCTGTGTCAATAAAGAAAACGATACAAGTCTGTGTTAAGAATTACGAAAATTAATAAATATAAATTCATAAATTAATGCAGTAAAACAATTGCGATTAAATGACGAGTGCTTATATAAGATACATGTATTCTTGCATGTGCAAATGATATCGATCACGTGCGGATCGACTTCTTTACATTTATTTGCCCAGTTATCTAATTAACTGAGCAGTCTCTTGCGGCTTGATAATCGGATTGGATACAATTCGTATAATACGTTGGCGGGCAAAGAGGAGAAGCAGAACAAGGAGAAAAAAAACGCGCAAATGGAGATAAAAATCCACGTTTCGTTAGGTAGAAGTTTTAGAAATGTACCGCACGTAAAATGCAACCATGTTCGCGTACGGAGATTGTGAGCGCGCTGTAAATAAACTAAATTTCCGTCGAAAGGAAACATGAACGGGAAACTCGACGAGTGCAAAATTAAAGAGTACACTACATCTGGCGTTTATTAATTTAACAACATTGATAGATCAATTTTGTAAGTACGTGAATAGCGGCAGCGGTCTTTGCATAAGTAACATTTCAACCAACCTAAGCAATTACTTTAAAAACTCTCTC